CAGAGGGGAGGTCCCCGTGGCTAGTGGCTGGGGGGGGCGGAGAAGTTGGAGGGGGAGAATGGAAATGAGAAAGCAAGGGAGAGACTTGGACAGGTCCCTGTGGCTAGTGGCTGGGGGTGGGGAGAGCAGGGAGGGGCGTGTGCATGGACAAGCGCAAGCGCACGCACGTGCGCGCACACACACACACACACACACACAGGGTTGGCGTGGGGTCTTGTAGTGTAAATGGGCACATCTTTGCCTTGAAGGCTGGAGTGGGGGCTGTCGGTGGCCAGGGCGTGGTGGGTGCTTGTAAATGCCCTCCCTTTCCTGTCCTTCCTCTTCCTCCTGCCCGCAGTGACTCCCCAGCTTCCTCACGGGGAGCTCTGTTCGGAACACCCTCCCTCGGGCCACTTCCTCCTCCCTGACCCGCGGGGACGTCATGAGGCACTTCATGCACCAGGCAGGAGGCACAGCGAGCACCCTTCTTGAGGAGTCCCCAGACCTCCAGACTCCCCACCTGGCTCGTGGGATGAGCCCGTCCCTCAGCGCGGCCTGGGACCATGGCTCCAGTGGGTGCTCGCTGTGGGCGAGAGGCTGTCACCCAGGGGACAGTGCTGGGGCGAGGACAGGGCCAGGGCATGAACCTATGCTCCTCCGTCTTTCCTTCCAGCTCCAACCCACAGCCCCAGCAGGCACACTAGTCTCTTCTCGGTCAAGTCTGTCATTTGGCCTCTCCTTGCCTTTTTCCTCCAGGCCTCATAGCTGAGTCACCCACATCCCTGCCCTCCTCCCTACCCCCAGGGCTGATCATCCACTGTGGGTGGGGCTGGTGCTCATTCATTCGTTCACTTTTTCATTCTGGGGTGGCAGGAGCTCAAGACCATGGCGCCAACCTTGCTGGCCCCTCTGCCCCAGCTGGGGGTCTCCCCACCTCCCCCGCAGATTCTAGCATCTCCCCACCCCCAGCCGCACTCTGCGTCCCAGGCCCTGGTATTTAAAGGACTTTCTTGTTGGTGAGTCCTTTGTGTGGATGAGAAAAGTCGAGGTGGGGAAGGTGAAGGCTGGCCACAGACTCCCAGGCTGTGCTCAGAACCTGGAGAAGCAGAGAGCAGACAGAGGGAAGGCAGGCAGGCAGGCAGGGCAGCCTTGGTTTCTGGAGACCACCTCGTCCCTGGCCATGAAGCAGAGTTTAGGGTTCCTGAGAGATGGGTGCAGAGCAGCCTTGGGGTCCATGAAGCCCTAGAAGCTTTCCACTTGTGTGTGTGATGAGTGATCATACACACGTGGGTGGCGTGTCAGCATGCATGTACATGTGTGTCTGTGCGTGGCACATGTGCGTGCATCAGCATATCGTGGGCGTGTACTGGTGCGTGCACGTGTGCCTTTGGTGTGGATGCATGTGTGCATGTAATGTGCACATGTGCATCAGTGTGTAGGTGTGTGCGTGCATGTTTGTGTGCAAGTATGCCCATGTGCATATGCATATATGCATCACCATGTGTACGTTGGTGCATACACGGAGTGTATTTCCGGGACCGCCAACCCAAGCCAACCAGCCAGACTTCACGTCCGACCCACCTGCTGCTTGGTGTGGTGGAGCCAAAAGCTGATGTCTGCCCCGCAGCCCTTGAGAAGTCAGACGCCTTGACAGGAGGGCCTCTTTCTTGCCACGCCCACTTTCCTCATCACTGTGTGTCGCCAGCCTCGGAGCAGCCCCACGACTGCTGTCTGCTGTGAGGGTGTGTGTGTGGGGGGCAAGAGCAGGTGGGTCAGCGTGGGCCCTGGGGGCTTGGCCCAAAGGACAGAGGTGGAGGAGGCTGCAGGGGCAGGGGGTGTGTGGGTGTGGACCTGGAAGGCAGGAAGCCCCGGAGTGGAAGGTCTGGAGCCACAGACTGTGCAGGTGGACAGGGCCAGCTGGGCCCTGGGTCCAGGTGCCCTGACGGGCAGGGAGAGGGGCCTGCAGGTCCAGCTGGGGTGGTGGGGGCTGAGTGGCTGCTCCTTCCAGCCTGGGACCCGGGGCCCCCAGCCAGGTGGAGAGTGGTTCACTTCATCCCACAGCCGCCTTCCTGCCGCCCCCCTTTTCCTCCTCTCGCCCTCTACCCGAGCGCAAAGCTGTGAATTGTTCTGCTGTTGGGTGGCCAAAGAAAATATTATGTCAGCTCCAGAACGTTCTGCCGCCTGACTGCCGTCACCTTCCCTCCCCGGGCCCCAGGACCCGGATTAGCCCCAGGCGGGGCTCCGTCTCTGGTGGCCCATGAGGCCTGGCAGTGGCCCTCCAGCTAGGGGCCCAGCCTACAAAGGTCATTTGACCTCTGGGAAAGGGGGCTACCTGTAGAGTTGTGTGGTGGGGGACAGGAGCTTGGGGCCACTTGTGACATGGGCTAGCAGCTTACCCGCCGAGCCTTGGGGTTCTTCCCTAGATCCACCTCCAGGGTGGGTTGTGACACCGAAGACATCAGAGGGCTGCTGGGCAGCAGACGCGGCTAAGAGAGGGCGCCGGTGCGCACAGCCCGTTGGGCCCAGCCTGGGCCGTGCGCGGGGTCACCAGGGTTTTGCTTTGAACTGAGGTGTAATTCACCTGCTGTAAAACTCACTCCTTCCCGTGTGTGATCTGGGCGTTTTCATGGTGTGCGACCACCCAACAGTCACCAGCTTCTACTGATGGCGCCCCCGTGTGCATGCCACAGGGTTTTTGGGTTTTTTTTTCCTACTTTTATTGTAGTGAAAACATACACAACAAGATATTCACCGACATAACAACTTTCCCATTTACAGCTCAGGGACATTGGTGACATTTTTCATGTTGTGCCACCATTATTGCTGTCCTTTTCGAAAATATTTCACCACCATGAGCATAAACTCAGTGCCCCACAGTCAGAAGCTTCCCTTTTCCCCTTCTTACCCCTGACCACCACTGATAATCTTGGGTTTCTGTGTGTGTGTCTTTTTTTTCTTTTCAACCTATCTAGCAATTTTTCCTCCCCTCCCCTTCCCTCCCGTCCCTGGTAACCAACAAAGAAAGTTTTCTTCCACGTATAAACTTTTCCTTGACTTTTTATAATAGTGGACTAATACGATATTTGTCCTTCTGTGACTGACTTATCTCATTCAGCATAATGTCCTCCAAGTTCATCCATCCATCTTACGCGGTGTTCTGCAGATTCTACATTATTCTTTAGGGCTGCATAGTATTCCATTGTATGTACATACCATTGTTTGGTTATCCATTCTTCTGTTGATGGGCACCTGGGTTGTTTTCATCTCTTTACTATTGTGAATAGTGCTGCGATGAACGTGGGGGTGCATGTATCTGTTCGTGTCCTGCCTCTCACTTCTTTAGGATACATACCAAGTGATGGGATTGCTGGGTCAGATGGTGTTTCTGTTTCCAGCTTTTTAACAAATTACCATACTGATTTCGACAGACTTCACAGAGCTTTCAGTGGCTGGGTTTTCAGAACTAGATTGCCAGGCCTTTCTTCCAAGGCGCCTCTACATGGATTCTGATAGACATGGGTCACCGGGAGTCTGTGTGGTTTCTGTGTTCACTGCCCCTTCCCCCCATGGCTCAGGGCCATGAGGGCAAGGGAGCCCAGAACCCCGACTGAGTGTGAGAGTGACAAGGGGTGGCCCTTGCCTGGGACCCTGGGACCCTGGGGCAGAGGGGAGGCCTGGTGGCAGGTCTGTAGCCTTCTGGGATGCCCGGCCTCTCCCAGCTGCTGCCCTCGTCCACCAGTGCCCCAGGAGCTCCGTCATGTCCTTGGGCACGGCTCCTCCCTGGTCAGCCCTTCCCCTGCCGGCTGTGAGTGGGGCTGTGAGCCCGCCCCTGTGCTGCGCTGCCCTGTGTGGAGATGGTCACAGGCACGCTCTGGGCAGGGAGCTGGCCAGGCTGTGGCCCCACGGAGCCCTGGTGCCTTGGGGCCTGCAGTGTTCTCTCACTTCTGCCAGTGGAGGAAAACGTACATTGATCTGCTCGGTTACTTTGATTGTTTGCAATGTGGGACCCTTGGTCTTTGGGGTCCTTGGTGGGTCAGAGTGGGTGTATGGGGCCTTCCTACTGCTTCTCCCTCTTCCTTGGGGTGGGGGTCTCCCTGGACACAGCTCCAGATGTTCCCTCAACCTGCCATCTCATGTTACCGCACCCTCACCGACCCTCAGATCTCTCAGAGTTCCTCTGTCTGGGGCCAAGCATCCCAGAGCCGGGAGGCCTCTGACCCTCTGCTCTGGCCCTGCGGCCCCACCCTGGCTTCGAGCCCGAGTAGGGTGAGGGCAGCCATGGAATGGGGGTGGTCATGGGGCTGGGAGGGTGGTTGTGGGGTGGGGTGGGGAGGTCGGCTGCAGGGTGGTAGTCACCATGGCCCAGCAGCATCGGTCGCCTCCCCCACTCCTGGACCCGTTCACCCACGTGCCTCCTGCTGTGTGACTGTGAGACTCTGGGTCCATCTCTTGGGCCCTCATTCCCATACAGGCCAGTCACCAGGCTCTCTTATCCTCCCTGGGGTCACAGGTGGCCCAGTGAGGCCCCACAGGCCCCTGACTGGAGGTGTCTGCACATGTGAAGGGGGATTGGCATGGAGGATGGGGTACAGCAGCACTGGGGTTCACTTCCCTGGGGACAGTGGGGGAGGGAGGGGTGCAGGGGACTGAGGTCCGCCTCCCTGGGGACAGTGGGGGCGGGGACGGGTGCAGGGGGCTGGGGTCTGTCTTCCACAGTTCACTGGGGTTGGAGAAGGGGTGCAGGGGGCTGGGGTCTGCCTCTCTGGGGACACTGGGGCTGGGGAGGGAGCTCCGGGGGCTGGGGTCCCCCTCCCTGGGACAGTTGAGCCTCCCATCTGAAGTGTCCCCTCTCTCCCCAGGTCTGGCTCAGAAGAAGGCAGCCCCGGCAGAGGTGAGTATGTGGAGGAGTGATGGGTCTGAGGGCCAGCTGTGGGCATGGCAGGCAGCATGTGGCTGGGTGAGCGGCCCCCACAGGAAGAACAGAGATGGCAAGGTGCAGGGGGAGGACTCAGGGTCCTGCCCTCTGATGCTGGGCCTGTGGGTGGTGCAGGACTCCTGGGGTTACAGTCCAGCAAGGCAAGGAGCCAGCAGGGGGTTGGTCACAGAAGCTCCCCAAGGAGGCAGGACAGGGCACTGGGTTTCAAAACCCAGGAGGGCATCAGAAAGCCTTCTGTGCGTGGCCTTGGGTTTGTCATGGCAAATAGGCATCATTGTGCTGTCCTGAGAGGAGTGAGGGGGACACCTGGAGTGACTCCCACCAGGAAGTACTGCCTCGCGCTCTTCCAGAACCTTCTCTCACAGGCTTTCTGCGTGTGGTCTTGCAGCCTTCTTTCACTCAGTGTGGCTGCTCCCCAGGTCAGAGCTGCAAGGGACCCCGTTAGGGGCACTGTCTTTTTTGTTGTTGTTTAAATTAATAATAAAAAATTTCAGTATAACTCACATACCACATATTTCACCCACTTAAATGTACAGTTAGGTGGAATTTTTTTGTATAATCACACGTTTTTGCCACCATCACTACCATCTGGTTCCAGAACATTCCCAAAAAGAAACCCCGTCTGTACTCATCAGCATTCCCTCCCTGTTTCCCCTTACCCAGCCCCAGGAGACCACTGACCTACCCCAGTCTCTCTGCATTTGCCTGTTCCAGGCATTTCATAAAGGCCTCTGGTGGTGTGGTGGTTAAGGCATTCGGCTGCTCACCAAAAGGTCAGCAGTTCAAACCCACCAGCCGCTCTGCGTGAGAAAGATGAAGCAGTCTGCTTCTGTGAAGATGGCAGCCTTGGAAGCCCTGTGGTGCAGTTCCACTCTGTCCTCTAGGGGCGCTGTGTGTCAGAATGGACTCCATGGCAGTGGGCTTGGTTTGGGCCTTAGACATTTCATACACGTGAGATCAGACAGTGGTTGGCTTTTGCGTCTGACTGATTTCTCAGCATTTGTGTTTTCGAGGTTCCTCCAGGTCGTGTATCAGGAAGTCATTCCTCTTCATGGCTGAGTGATACTCCCTTGGGGTGGGCCATGTTGTGTTCTCGTCATCTGTGGATGGACACTTGGGTTGTTGTGCACTTTGGTGATGGAGAATAACCACGTTGCCGCGAGCCTGGGGGGGTACAGGTCGTTGAGTACGTGTGTCTTCCTTTCTCAGGAAGCACCCCTTGGGGGGGGTGGCGGCACAGGCAGGGCCGGCAGGGTGGGGTCAGGGTTGTGTGTGTCTGGAGACAGGCCCAGTCTGGGGGCTCACCTTGTCCCCCTCATTCCTCACCCAACTTAGCGCGTCATTGTGCCCACACCCTGCCCTGGACTCTGGTTCTTGGAGTAGACAGACGGACGGACTGTCTGGTACCTGGTGCAAGGTGCACCCATTGTGGGGGCCATGAGGCCAGCGAGAGGCTGGTCCTGGAATCTTTAGGGAAGTGCTCAGGGGAGGGAGGGAGGGGAGAGCGAGCTCACAGGTATGGGGGGATGCAAGTGTAAAAGGCTCTGGGACATGAGTGGATTGGGGGTGAAAGTGAGGAACCCACAGAGACTAATGTGGCTGGAAAGGGTTAGAGGTTAGTGAGAGCCTGGGCCCTACGGGCCTTTGCCGGAGGGAAGTGGGAGCCCTGGAGGTCTGTGAGCAGAGGAGGGACAGCCTGGCTCCGGTGCTCACGGCGCCCTCTGGCTGCTGCAAGGGGACAGCCTGTGGGGCGGGGGCAGAGCTGGGGGACCAGAGTGGAGGACTACACTGGTCCAGGCTGGCGATGGGGGGGCTGCACTAGGGGGAGGCAGAGGAGAAGAGATGTGGGTGGGAGCTGGAAAAATCTGGAAGACAGCGCTGACAGGATTTCCTGACAGATTGGCTGTGGGAGGGGAGGGCAGAGGAGCAGCTGGGAGGAAGGAGCTGGGTGGACGGGGAGGAACAGGCTGAGGGACAGTCGGGCACTTTAGGGCTGTGTTGGGTGAGGCGCGTGAGACCCCTGTGTGCGGACGTTGACGGACTTCTGGCCCTTCTGGCCGCTGAGTCTCAAGTTGGGAGGGGCCTGGGCTTAGGTGGACGGCATTCAGAGCCCTGAGCATGGACGAGGGGCCCAGGAGGGGTGTAGGTGGAGGAAAGAAGTGCAAGGACTCAGAGTTGGAAAGGGACCCAGAGAGGTGGTGGTGGCGGCGGGGAGGAGCCGGGTGGTCCCACAGAGGGCCGGCACACCCACACCAGGTCTGCAGAGGGCTCTGCCACCTGGCAGGGCTGTGACTCTGGGGCCAGGCTCCAGCATCCCCCAGGACAGTGGACCCCCCAGGACAGAGGGGAGGCCT